CATACGCACTGTGTTCTGGTAGTAGCTATATTCGCCCAGGTGCATCGAGTGTACGAACTGGTCGGTTATACGTCAAATACTAACCTGGCGAGCTTTGCCGTCAATTAGAGAGCGCTTCCAAAAAACAAGTAAACAACAGTGGCGCGTACAGAGGTAAAATGTAGTACATTTGTGGAATTTTAACAAATTGGATTTATAATAAATTACATTTAAAATAAATAGTTTATGAGAATAAAGGAATTTTTGTAGCAACAAGGGTGCCAGACCTGAACGGATTCCCTCGTCCCTTCATAATGTATAAAGAAATTATTCAATTTGTAAAACCCTTAAAGGCGTACTTCATTGGTTCCCTTGACAGGCAATGATTTATTACTTTGCATCGAATATGATCGTACTATAGTTTTCCACTATAATCCATGATACAACGAGTATTTATTAAAATTAAGTTAACTATTAAAAGTATTATACAAGCATACACAAGAGGACCTAATAGTTCTCTTATATGTATACATACAGGTGCTTTTTCCATGACGTTAAGGCGGAAATACACATACCAGTAAAATAGGTAAGTAACTTGCATGCTAAGAAATGGCATATGCCGGCGGATGGCACACTGCTGACACATTTGCAAGTAAAATGGAATGCCTCGTTAGTATTATGGCTTATTGGTATATCAGTAGGTAGCAAGTAGACACGTTCCGACATGCCACTTGAACTCCCCCGAAACCCCCCGCCTCACATTGCATGCCAAAAAATCAAATGATGTGCAATTTACTTGCGCGCCTTCTACAGGCATGCCTTTTAATAGATACACACACCAGGAGCTATCTGCTGCAAGCTACTTGCATGCTATTGTGCAAGCAAGAGGCATGTGTATTTCCGCCTTTAGTGACAGTGACAGTAGGCTATTATATATTATTATATATTTTGTAACAGTAGGTACCTAATCGTCACGGAATATACGCAGGTGCTGAAATCTATTTAGCCTACGCTCTTAAGTGTTTAAGAAGTTTATTTATTTTTATTTAATTCTAAAAGATAGTAGAGTAGAAGTTCTAGAAAAACTAACATTACCTACAATGGCCAATAAGAATAATTATTATATGTATATCATTATGTGCCATGTTTGTTCAATATTTGTAATTTTACTTATTGAGGAAGTAGGTATAGTTATTTTATAGATCTATAATATTATACCTAATTACTTTATTTAATATTACATTAATAAGTGATAAACTATTAACCTTGTAACTTTGATATTAACTGCAAAAATATAAATAATAAGTTCTTTGATCTCAATTTCCTGGCGGTCCAAAATAGAATTTTTTTAGCAGATTATGATGAATTAAATTAAAACCGGGTAGAAAAATAAGTAAACGAAAATGAAAAAAAATTGCATAAAAAACGTGATAAATTATGCAAAAATATGCTATTAAAAACATCGGTATACAGGGTGGGCCTTAACTGCATTCTGATAATTAAAAAAAAGGTCCTATAAATATATGTAGTAAAGTGGCCCAGTTTCTAAGTTACAAGGCGTTGTAACTTAGAAACTTAAAAAAAAAGATTTTTAATAAGTCAAAAATGAGACTTTCTAGAAACTACTACAAAACCAAATTCCAATAAACCATCTCCTCCAGTTCCTGTTACTAATATAGGTAAAATATACATATATTTTTTTCAGTCACTCCATTTTATTGTCGTGAATATGCAGTCAAACGTTGTCAGTGAAATTTGCAGACACCCTGTATAATAAAGACATCACAATTTTTTTATAATAGTTTTAATAACTATAAGAGTACTAAGCACAGCTTCATACAACATGAGTTCCAAAAAAAAAAATAAGAAAAATAAGAAAATGGTATGAAATACTTGTGACTAATAATTTGGAAATACAATTTTTTGTAAATATTATTTTTTATATGGAATGTCCCGTAAGTATACAAAAAAAAATAGGTAGTTGCTTTAGATGACTTAAATGGATGGTTAAAATTTTGTCACTTATTTCTGGGACGCCCTATACATTAAAAATGGAAAGCAAAACTTGATTGGTAAAAACATTTTTTTACAAATAGAATATATATTTTTTTTGAATATTTATTAACTTACCACATTGATATGATGAAAACTTTTTTGGAACTGCTGACACCAACGATTGATCTGCCTCTGTTTACAAGTGCTGATGCATACCTATTTGAAAATCACTGCACGTAAATATGTGCAGCTAAGTCGCAGTTTTCATCAGTGTCTTCATACTTATCACCATGTCCACTGACATATTGTTAATGTCCCTGATGAGCCATTTCAGTAAATGCAACGTAATTTTTTTTAAATCTGCCATAGACCAACATTTTTGTTTGAAGTGACAGACTAGTACTTCTAAAAGCAAAGTTGTAGGGAATAACATGACTAAGAAAAATTTACAAATAATGCTTTCCGGAGTTGCCAGATTTCTTTGGTAGCTACTAAAACAACAGTTTTTTAAATAGCAACACCGTATTTTTTTCAACACAATGTGACAAATCTTCAAATTCTAAATAGAAAATGTTATGTCACATTTTTTTATTGAAGTAGACGTTTTAGAACAATCAGCAAAAACAACGAAAATAATCTGCAGTCGGCAGGAAGTAAAATAAGCTAACAAAGCAATAGTAGGCCTTGGATATTAAACAAAAATTGTGTTGTTTGAAGAAGCCGTCATTATTGTGCTGTCATTGTATTATTTAAAGCTGTTGTATTTGAATGTGTATAAAAATAACATTTTAATTCAATTGCTAATATGATTTTCAGCCTTTTGCAAATCCTTGGGCATACACTACCAGTTGTTTCTAGTTTTACTAAGTTATTTCCTAAAAGCTCCGGATTTGGCAAAGGCTTATCGGGATGTATTGCGTGGCCACCAACATGAAGAAAAATTAATTCAATTTCCTCTTTTGGATGAAATAACTTATTCATTTTAGCAACTGAATTAAAACGTTATTTTTCTAAACATTCAGATACAACAGCTGTCAAATAACACAATGACAGCACAACAATAATGGCTCCTTTCAAACAACACAATTTTTGTTTAATTTCCAAGGCCTACTATTGCCAGGGCCGGATTAACCTATGATAAGACCTAGGGCTACAAGCTCTAAAAAATGATATTAAATTTCAAAACCTAAACAAGATTTTGTTTGATTCGGAAAAGAAAGCTAAAATTCATTTTGCCAGATCTTGCCGAGGCCCCCCGATCTCTGAGGTCCCGGTCTACAGCCCTTAGTCCGGCTCTGACTATTGCTATGTTAGCTTTTCTTAATTCCTGCCGACTAAATAAAACATACATTTTTTATTTAGAATTTATCAAATTTTGTTAAAAAAAATACAGTGTTGCCATTTAAAGAAGTATTGTTTTAGTAGCTACTGAAGAAATCTGGCAACACCGGGAAAAATATTAGTAAATTTTTCATAGTCTAGTTATTTCCTACAACTTTGCACTTGGAGGTACTAGTCTATCACTTCAAATAAAAAAGTTGGCCTATGTCAGGTTTTCAAAAAATTGCACTGTATATTGGTAATTATTAATTCACTTTCTTCTTTCACAAAAAGAAACACAGTTAAAAATAAAAATCCAACAAAATAAAGAACTTCACTTAAACGTTTGTTACTAAAAATTTTCTCAATAAAATCAAACGTTTTGTATAAATAGAAATGAAAAAGAAACGAACACTCATCTCTTTTTACGTACCGTCAACGGGGGTGATATTGGACGAATTTTTCAATTATTTTACTCTATTTCTGGGTCTGATAATTCAAAAATTCTGAAAAAAATCATGTAGTTAGGCTAAGGTGTATTCTATTGTGTAGTATAATTAAAATTTGTATTTTGTTTTTAGTTTTTTATATATTTTTTGATAAGGGTTGTCCAACTTCACCTGGCAGAAAAGGGTGAAGTTGGACATAGCTTTAAATCAATGGAAATCCAGCTACGGAACGGTCTATTACCCGAGTTGTACATAAAAATTGTTTTTTAAAAAGGAAATCTTTCAGTTTTACTCTAAAATAAATTTATAGAGTTTGAAAAATGTGTATTAAACCTTTATTAAAACTATTATTAACAAAATTTAAATTTCTTATAACAATATAACAAAAAATATTTAACATTATTTAAAAACTTATTTAAAACTATTTGTTGTTGTGAAGTGTTGATTTTGGAACATTCCACTTTTCAGCTGCAGCCCTGACACTTAAAATCTTATTTTTCACTTCTTTTACTGGCATTTCCAAATTTCTGGTGGGGTAACTACAATTTGGCTTTATGTCAAGCGATTTTCGATATTTTCGGGGCATATTTTGGGTGACCAACTTCACCCTGGAATAACACAACAGTGTAAACAAGATTCCCCCACTCCACTATTTTTACAAAAATATGATTGAAAATTTCCATGACTAATACTCAAACAATAGTGCAACTCCTCAGACAAAAAGGTTGATATTCCGCCAGCCACATCGTAGATACAGTAGTTATAAGAACAAGTTTATGAAAATGTCCAAATTTCATACAACACTTTCGTAAATCACAGACTCACTTACCTGCGTCCTTCATACCCACACTGCGTTCCAAGAGAAACAGAACATGTTTCACGATTTCTGCCGCCAAATCAGTTAAACATTCACCCCCCACCTACCAGGTAGGAATTTTTTTTTAACACTACCGTTTGTCCACCTTCACCCCTGCTGTCCAACATCACCCCAGTTGATGGTACTTACCAGAGGATTCCAAAGATTCTCAATAAATTTTTAACATTATTATTAATTTTAAGCACCATTTTGCAGTTTCACCTGTTTTACTTGTTGAAAATGCTAAAAATCCCCACCAAACTTGTAAACACCCTATATATTATAAAAACTTAAAAATAAGAAAAGCAAGCTAGTGAGATAAAGGAAAAATAAGGTAACACACATTCAAAGTCAACAAATTCTTAGAAAATAAAATATAAGTATAATAAAATATGCTTAAAATTACAATTCTACAGTAAAGTAGAAAGTTTTAATTTGTTTTCAATTTCATCTCCTGAAATTTCTGTCCCAGTAATTTCATAACCTCTCCATGTTTAAGATTTGTTTGCTTGTAAACACCATAATTTTCTTTTACAAATAAAGCAAAACCTGTTGCTTCCTTTTTTGGTGTGGCAGGTACTGACTTGGTTTCACCTTTCTTACTAACTTTGTTTAGTAAAATTTCAAATTTTCCCAAGCAATACCCGCACCTTTTTCTTTCTATGTCCAAAGATTTCGAGTGCCGACCAATACTGAAAATATTCATGTAAATCAGCTAATCAAGAAATTTCATTTTATAAAACATATTTTCATACACAGAAATTAAATTAAAAAATACTTTCTCTTGTATAGGGTGTTACAATATTTTATCAATAAAATTGTACAAATGATTCTCTAACTGAAAATATTAAAGAAAAGTTCATATGGTGGTAGGTATGTATATGTTTCATTTTTGATACAGTTAATAAAGTTTTATTGCATACTTTTTTTTCATCTAAATTATTCAACACATTTTTTGAAATAATCCAATACAATTTGGTGCATTTAATATTTTTTTTAAGAATTGATGTAATGCATAAATTACTGTTCGAAATAAGCTACAGTGTGATACTTTCTTGGAATCATGACCACTAGTATCCCTGAATTTTTTTCTGTTCAATTTTTTTAACTTTTTGATCTCGTGAATTTTTCTTTATCAATTACATGGATGGTGTTCAGCAAGATGTGACTTTAAAATATGCTTTACGTTGTATGATAGCTTGTTTTATTTTAAGGAAAACTGCAATATGATCTACTATCATGTAAAAGAAATGAGAATAACTAAATAAATCTTTACCACCTTATACCGTAAAAGAAAGTATTTGCCCATCTCATTCACATGAACTTTTGTTCTTATTTTTGGTCAGAAAATTGTACAATTTTATTGATAGAATATAACACAATCGTATGTATTGTTTGAAAATGCAATCAGTGACGGCTCTTGAAAATTATATTGGTCATATTTTGATATTAAGCCTGGGATCTATAGGATCGGAAAGTCCCCATGGTTCATCGGCCGTTACGTGAGAGCGATAAAGTCATAGAAATCCGTGGGATAGAGAAAGATGGCTATAATGAAGGCGTCTAATAATCACCGCCCATTTCGCCCTTCCACAAATAAGATCCACTTCTTATTTGTGGAAGGGCGAAATGGGAGGTGACTATTAGACGCCTTCATTATAGGCATCTTTCTCTATCGCACGGATTTCTATGACTTACTTTATCGCTCTCACGTAACGGCCGATGAACCATGGGGACTTTCCGACCCTGTATACCGTTTTTAAAGGATGATTTCTAGACCCACATAGATTAGTTTCGTAAAAAAAAATATGAATGGAATTAAAAAAATAAACAAACTTTATATAATTACTGTAACTTTAAGAAAAATAAAAACAAAAAAAAATAAGAAAACACCTGTTTATATTTATCAGAAAACATGTTATTTGCAAGTATATAAGTGTAACTTTAAGTGAGAGTTAATCTATAGGTATTATTCAGATTACCAATGCATTTGTCAAATAATTAAATAGATTAGTCGTATGAAACACATTAAAAAGGAAGTGTTAAATTTGTAATATGCAGACAATTTAACTCGACTTGCAAAATTCGTTTGCAAAACATTGAATATGTGAACTCCTAATAGCTCACCTCTACATTGGTAGTGTTTACTGCAGTGGTCATGATTGAAAAACGGAGTGGGAGTACCGCATATTTACTATGCAGTTTGGTCTCTGTTTTTCTCTGTTTTTTTTTTCTTAATAAACTTAATTTTTTCAGATGTGGTATTAAATTTTGTTTCTTGTGTGTTTTCCTTAAAGATTGTAAAAAGCAAAAAGTTTAAATTGATTATAGCAATTGCTATTGAAAAATCAATGGTACGAAAAATACCAAACTTTAATGAAAAAATAATTGAAAAGTTTATTTGAAACAAAAGCAGAAGAATTGACTTTCACTATAAAAAGTAATGTTGAGTGCATTTTTCTTATATTATTCAATTGTACTTAAAATTAATCAATTATATATTATTTTTTTTTTCAATACTTTGTATCTAAAATTTTCTGCCTTCCATTGTATGGAAGTCAGGAGCCACCACTCCACCACTGATATTAACTAATATCGGTACTTGGGCCACACAAAAGATTATTTATTCCTTTGACCTACATGGTCAAAATATTTACAAATATACTACAATAAGTAAGACTTATGTTTCAAAATAATTATTTTGCTATTTGCTAATAGATTTAAAACATTTTATAAAATTATTTCAAGTATTTAATAAAAACTATTTATAATTTTTTTAAAGTACTGTGCTTTGTGAATTTCTGTGATTTCTGGCATTGATTTACTTTACATGAACTACTATACATAAATTCAATCCATCTGATGTGATATGACAACAACTCATTGTGCAGGTATAAACAAATGACCAATGTTAATTTGACAAAGCATCCCAATATGTCACTGCCTCTTTTAATTATTTTTATTTTAGTTTTTTGTTTACGAGAATAGTCTGACTTTTTGGGTGAAGTAATAGTTTTGAAAATAAAACTTATTTATTTAGAGACGGTAGGGTGTTTGTATGTCTTCATTGTTAAATTTTTGTGTGATATTATAAGAAAACAAATATAAGAATCAAGGAAGATGAGATTTGACAACAGTGGTGCTCTATAAAAATTTTGAAAAAAAAATTAGTTTCTACGATAGCCATCCTGTAACTATAATATTAGAAGTTACAACCTGATGCACAATCCTTTCTCAGGATTAGACACCTTCAATCTAATTTTTTCTCTGTGTGAATCTAAAAATCATCAATCATTAGAAACAGCATGAGTCCCAGGTCCCACATTTCATTAACAAAATATTACCACTTTAATTTTTATGAGTAACGACTTAAAATAATACATAAAATTATACAGGATGTTTGGAAAAGTTGGTACAAAATTTAAGGAGGTGAAAGTAGCTCCAAAAATAGTAAAAAAAGTTTCCATAAACATTGGTCCTCCGGAGCACCGTAACTGCGGTATGGCCCTTCAAAGGAGACTTATCCTTTGGATATTTTTTAAAATTAACTTTCTTTCTAATTAAGATAATGGAATGAAAATTGTAGGTAATAATCATACCATAAGGGTCTTTAACTATCATAAGTTAAAATCGGTTATAAATAAGGATAGTTTTCTAACTACCCTTAACAGAAATTTTTCAAATTTTTTTTTATTCTTTTGAATTATCAAGCATATTATTTTTTAATGAATTTGACGTTTTTGAAGAAAAAATGTCTTCTTTTTTTTCGAATTCTGCATAGTTTAGTCGGAAATAATTATTTTTTAAATAATGTATGACTCAGAACAGCCACTTTTTTTAACATTTTCACATACTAGGCATCTTCCATGGTGACAGTTTCGTTGTAATGATACTAAAGATTGTCACTTTCGCGTGCTATCATTTAAATTCTTACGTTTCTTAGTTGTGATCTTTGTGCTTGACTTTGCATTTCATTCTATTTTTTTACAACCATGAACCATCATGCTTTTACTATTAATATGCCGATATGCATTTTATTTATGGTTTCTGTAATGGAAATAGTCTGGCGGCTCAAAAAGAGTATTGGCAACGTTTCCCTGATAGAAGGCAACCTTCTGCAAGATTGTTTGGTAAAATTCATGCAAGAATGATGGAATCAGGAGCCCTAACTACAAGATATTGTGAATTTGGCTGTCCAAGGAGGCGTAGGCATGATTTAGACGAAGTAATTATAGGATTTTTTTAACGTAATCCTACTGCGAGTGTAAGAAGAGCGTTTGCTCATGATGGTTCATGGTTGTAAAAATATCAAATGAAATGCAAAGTCAAGCACAAAGATCACAACTAAGAAAATAAAGAAACATAAGAATTTAAACGATAGCACGTGAAAGTGACAATCATTAGTATCATTACAACGAAACTGTCACCATGAAAGATGCCTACTATGTGAAAATGTTAAAAAAAGTGACTGTTCTGAGCCATACATGATTTAAAAAATAATTATTTCTGACTAAACTACGCAGAATTCAAAAAAATTAAAATAGTATTATTTGCTTGATAATTCAAAATAAAAAAATTTGAAAAATTTCTGTTAAGGGTAGTTAGAAAACTATCCTTATTTATAACCAATTTCGATGAAACTTATGATAGTTAAAGACCCTTATGGTATGATTATTACCTACAATTTTCATTCCACTATCTTAATCAGAAAGAAAGTTATTTTAAAAAATATCCAAAGAATAAGGCCCCTTTGGAGGACCATATCTCAGTAACGGTGCTCCGGACCATTGTTTATAGGAACTTTTTTAACTATTTTTGGCTCTACTTTCACCTCCTTAAATTTTGTACAAACTTTTCCAATCATATATTTTGCACTTACCTGTATCCGCAACCTGTACACTTATATGTATATTTGGTATTTATTACATAATCATGACATGTCTTTATTGGAGGTAATTCAGGAAATGTTTTCATAGCCTTGCATGCCCTACAAATGTTAAAAATGTTATTTTATATTTAACTTGATTGTAATACGAGCCCAAACATAATGTATTCGTACCAGAGATCATAAAATCAGTTTAAATAAAATATTGTCATGACGAAACTTATAATTGCTATTAAATACTACACCACGATAATATTGATATAACTGTACTGCCTATATCTTGCTTATGTAAAATTATTTCAATGTTAGAGAATTATAAAAAAAATATTAATAATTTGAAAACTTTTTGAAAATAACCAAAAAAATCATCTGAGAGAATTTAGTCTTTTAATTAATCATTCCTTTTATTATTTTCAATATCCCCCATGACAAAGGTTATCACAGGGGTTATCTTAAACACGACATATTTTCCTAAATAATAACAAAATTTCCTTTGTTATAAAACTTTTAAGTGAAATGTTTACCATGATTTCCAGTAACGACCATGTCCATCTGAAACACAATTAACTAGCCAAGTAGCAGCATGGCACATTTCATGAATCAAAGTATCTCTCAGCCTATAAGCTGCGTCTATAACTTTGGTGGACAACACAATTCTGACTGCTCTCTCAACAGTCCCCGTCCTCCTAGTTATTTTCTTACAATAGCAAAATCCAGCAGTACCCCTCATTCGATCGTTCCACTCTAGAACTGTATCCTGGGGAATAGCATTTTCAAAAATCTTTTCATTGTACAGCGTAAATAATTTTGTAAGCAACTGCTCCTTGTACAATTTAAAATTATTTCTGTAGATTCGTGCTGACATGTCACACTGAAGGATTGGTATATTTGCTAAAATTAAATTAAAATAAAAATAACTTTAATTACGAGCGCTTAATACAAAGCCTTCGTAAATGTTTACAAGCCACGAGACCCTTGAACTTAGGCAACTCAACATTGCACGACTGGTAATGAAAAATCCCTAAACCTTGGCGCCAGCAATATTAATGACTCATTTACAAGGAACAGTAACAAAGAGTTATTTCTATGATCGAGATAATGCGATCACTGATTGGTTGTCGGTGAAACGGAATGTTGCGTTTTAATGTAATCTTGAACTTATTGTATTGTATTATTTGTAATAATAATTTTTAATTTTATCAAAATTTAATTGCAAAATATAAAGGAAATAAAATTACTGCTCAAAACAAAATACTGGTCACGTCACGTGACATGTAATCATTTATGAAGACTCTGCAGTTATAATTTCGTCTTTTCACCGAGATCATTTCTATATAAACTCTTATAAAGGATGTCCAAAACGTCTGGAAACACCTGAATAATTTCCCAGGTAAATTATTTTTGAAAATTGTTAAGGTCATTGTAGTAGTAACTTTTGATGAGAAATTCAATGGTGACCTTGGATCTTCCTTGACGATGACCTTGAAGGTTATTTCAAGGTCACCTCAATTTTTTATAATGGAAACCCCCTTTTTCGACGTCGGCAATCGAAAAACCGGGAAATTTTACATCCAAAAACTCAGGTCCTAAATCAGGGTTTGATCCTGAAGGTCATTCAAAGGTTATTTAAATTTGAGGGCTGGATATCTCCGAAGGACGCAGTTGATAAATTGCAATTAGTAGTGACCTCAATCTCGGCCTTCTTGGTGTCCTTCGAGGTCATTTCAAGGTCATTTTTTGTACTGAAAATATCATGTGACGTCGGCAATCAAAAGAGCGGAAAATAAACTGTTTAAAATGGTTTCATATATTGACCGATATGAAAAAATGTTAGCCACGTAAGCATTAAATTATATTTTTTTATATCATAAAAATATATTGAATATTCAATCCTATATTTTAAAGTTACAGTACTTTATCAATATAGACTTTAGTCAGCAGTATTGGCTACTGATTTATATGCAATACACTGGATTCAACTACAAGAAAATACCAATGCAAATGTAAACTAAAATTGTATGTGTGCTTAGAACTGTGCACAAGAAAACTAGTATACTGGAATATCAAGAAGTGTACACTTAAAGGGTAAGACCACTCTATAATTTTCCGAAAATCTATTTTCTTTATTGATTTAAAAGATGCCTTGAACATTCTAGAATAAGGGAAAAAATTTTAGGCCTGTACAATTTAATTTTTTTTTTTAATTCCGAGCTCTTTCTCGAAAGCGTTGGTCTGCTCCGAAACAACGACCTGGGGCACATAGATATCTGTTAGAAGAGTACAGCCTAATGACTTATCTTTTGATTTCTATAACTTCTCTAATAATACTACTAACAGATGTTGTTAGAAGGAGTTTGTGTTCAATTAGAAGCATTTTCAAACAAAAGTACATTAGTATAGCGTACATCTCAAAACTTTAAAGGCATCTTTTTCGAAATATGATTTTTTAAATCGGCATGCAGCATAACTCCATCAATTTTCATTTTATTCAGTGCAAATTTTGACCATATCTTTAAAATAACATTTGAAGAAAAGTACATATGGGATTTTCAATAAGTTGATTTTAACATTATTTATTGACAAACGATTGCCCTTCTTTTTTTTGTCAAAAAATGAACTTTACTTCAAATGGTCGCCAATCACACAAAAATTAATGTTTTCAAAACCCCTACGTATTTCTCTAACCATACTCATGTGGATTAAGAAAATTTTTTTTGTTTTTTCCCATATTAAAATTTATGTCAGTTACTACGTGCCGCAGAGTGCCTCCGATTCAATATGCTTCGTGAGAATGATCCCAGCGTCGCCATTTTGTACTATTTATGAATAAACATTTTTTTTGGACTCTTAAAGATATGGTTAATAACATTCCTGAATATTATTATCCTCTTACTTTTCCTTCCAATAAAAAAATTTGAAAGAAACATTTTTAATTTTAAAGTGGTGTTACCCCTTAAATCAAAGGATTGCAGTGACGAAATATTTTTAGAATGAACTAAACTTTCTACATGTTTGGGGGGGGGTATAGTTTTAACCTGTTTGATAGTTAATGTTAGCGCTTTATCGACTTGATGAATATATTTATGTTTACTTATCTACAAATCGTTAACTGGAAGAGATCAAAGTATACTATAATTTTGAGTGTATTTACAACAATAAAAAATTTCAAACCGGAAGAAATAGCGAATTGAAAGAGAAGAGTGAATTATATACATATGCCTACTAAACAGACATCAAAAATGATAAAATTAAAGTGATCTGTACAATATTCAAGTAGTTCATCCTAAAAATGTTGTAGGTCGTCAAAATTCCTCCAGTGGCCCCTCGCCTATCCAGAAAATAGTTCTCATATGTACGTATACAGGGTGGGCCACCAGTAACGCCTCGGTCGCTAGTGACCAAACGGCAATTGTTATAGAAACCTGTTTAGGTGAGTATGTGTAGGTTGATTACGGCTACATTTTAAAAATATTTTGAAATATACAGGGTGCTCAGGAAAAGTACCATATCAAAGTTATGTTTTTTTAAATGGAACACACTGTATTTTAATGCATTTTTGAAAGCACCGTAAAAAAATAGGTGAATTTTATTAAAGGTTCTGCATACCTAGGCCTTATTGTTTGTGAGATATTTCAATTTTAGTGAAAATGCAGGCTTAGCATAGAAATTTAATATTAACAATAAAAATATAATTTTAAGAAAGCAGCTTTGGAGGGTCTATTTTAGATCCTTGAAGTTATAAATTGTTATATTTGTCGTCACTTAGTATTATACAGGGTGTTCAAAAAACTGCTGAATACTTCTCTCAACTTTAAACAGCAATAACTTGGTTATTTTAAATGGAACACCCAGTATATTTTTACTTTGGGAGTTGGGAAATTTAAAACTCTTTCAAACTGTGTATAGGTTCCCTATACCTATCTCTAACGGTATTGGAGATATTTGTGCCGTTTCGTTTTTTATCGATTTTTTTTTTAAGATGTATCCACGTGTCTTTATCGAGGTCTTTACTGAATTGGTTTGGGTTCTTCTTGATGACGTCTCTTTAAATATATTGAGAAAAATGAGGATGCAATTAGATGGCGCACCTGCAAATTTTTCATATTCAGTGAGAAATTATTTAAATCGGAAATTTAGTAATAAATGGATAAGTAGGAATGGTGCATGTCAGTGGCCACGTAGGTGTCCAGACCTCACCGTAATGGACTTCTTTGTTGCGAGCTATATAAAAAATCTTGTATACAATGTTCCACCTATTACTTGCGATGATATTGGAGGGAAGGATTAGAGATGCATTTGCGTGAGAATATCATTTGAAGATAGAATAAGATGCTGTATTCAGGAGAATGGTTATCAATTCGAACATCAATTAAAATTTTTCTTTGTTTTTTCTAAAAGTAAAAGTTCCTTTTATCATTATCATGAAAATATTCAAAAAAGTTTTCTAATAAAAAATATTATTTTATAAGCAGAATAATTATAAAAAGTTATTAATTTTGTATAAATATGTTTGTAGTAAGTAACTGAATTATTTATGAACATGAAAAATATTTATTAAAGAAAATTTTACTTTTAGAAGAAACAAAGAAAAATTTTAATAGATGTTCGAATTGATAACCATTCTCTTGAATACAGCATCTTATTCTATCTTCAAATGATATTCTCACATTCCTTAGAATATTTGGGGTGATTGTGGCAAATGCATATCTAATCCTTTCCTTCATATCATCGCAAGTAGTAGGTGGAACACTGTGTACAAGATATATTTTTATACAGCCCGAAACAAAGAAGTCCATTACGAGAGGTTTGGACACCTGTGGTAGCCACTGACATGAACCATTCTTACCTACTCATTTATTACTTAATTATCGATTTATATAATTTCTCACTGAATATGAAAAATGTGCAGGTGTGCCATGTATTTGCATTCACATTTTTCTCCTTATATTTACAGAGACGTCATCAAGAAGAACCCAAACCAATTCAGTAAAGACCTCGATAGAGACACGTGGATACATCTTACAAAAAAAATCGATAAAAAACGAAACGGCACAAATATCTCCAATACCGTTGGAGATAGGTATAGGAAACCTATATACAGTTTGAAAGAGTTTTAAATTTCCTAACTCTCAAAGTAAAAATATACTGGGTGTTCCATTTAAAATAACCAAGTTATTGCTGTTTAAAGTTGAGAGAAGTATTCAGCAGTTTTTTGAACACCCTGTATAATACTAAGTGACGACAAATATAACAATTTATAACTTCAAGGATCTAAAATAGACCCTCCAAAGCTGCTTCCTTAAAATTATTTTTTTATTGCTAATATTAAATTTCTACGCTATGCCTGCATTTTCACTAAAATTGAAATATCTCACAAACTGTAAGTCCTAGGTATGCAGAACCTTTAATAAAGTTCACCTATTTTTTTACGGTGCTTTCAAAAATGCAGTAAAATACAGGGTGTTCCATTTAAAAAAACATAACTTTGATATGGTACGCTTTTCCTGGACACCCTGTATATTTCAAAATATTTTTAAAATGTAGCCGTAATCAACCTACACATACCCACCTATACAGGTTTCTGTAACATTTGCCGTTTGGTCACTAGCGACCGAGGCGTTACTGGTGGCCCACCCTGTAGAACTGTGTATTTGTTACAGTTACTACAGAAATGTAGTTTTATTGAAATGTACATTATCATATATTTTGTATTTTTTTTTTTTTCACAAAATGATTAAAAATCAAAAATGAAGTAAGTACGTATTAAGTACATTAAGCAAATCTTTTCAAATTAATTATACAGTATAGACCAGGGGTCGGCAACCTTAGACCTGCGGGTCACCGAGTGACCCATTTAATAATTTCAAGTGACCCACTTTATTTCCTAAAAAAGTATAATATATAAAAATAAATTATAAAATAAACATGAAACGAATATTTTGAGAATAAAAAAAATTGAAAATAGATGCTTTGTTTTTGCGCGCACGTCAATCTTGAAATAACCTCTTTTTGCTTTTTGTTTGTTCCTGGCAATATATTTTTTTAAATAATAATAATTATTTCACTTAGGTAACTGCTAAATGTTTATTTTTATAATAATTAGAATTTTATTGGTTTTTATAATAATAATTAAAGTTTAAAAGTGTATCGTAATTATTTTCTTCATTCATTTAATATTCACACTGTGGTTGATTTTAACCTGCAGCCAAAAAAGGTTGCCGACCCCGGTATAGACTCTTTAATCCAAACTCACGCCGAATATCTACTAATCCGGCCCGACGAATGCCCGTTTCAATGATCAATGAATGATTCAATGATTTAAAAATTCGGTTTAACATATATAATTCGAATTATAGAGTCAGACTACATAATAGAAAGTAACCGCTAAAGACGTAATTCCCCGGCAGTCTCGGGGAAATCCTTTTATGCGAGTCGGAACCTTTCTCGATTGGATTGTTTTTTATTTTTAATAAATGCATATCCATATTTTACGATAATGTTTAGTTTTATTGTCTATCTAATTCATATTATATACAGTGTGTCCCAGAAGTAACGCAAAAAATTCGTATTTTATTTTGTGTTGCGTTTTCACAAAAACGCTAAAACACGTCATTTAGTAAATAGGAATTGTCATTTTGTCGTTTGCTTAAACTTTTTTTGCCCCATGTTTCATAAACCTATGACGTCATCAACATTTTCTTTAAATAGCACTACCTAATTTTTTAAGCATAAATGGATAGTCCTTTTGAAGGGAAATACGTAGATATAGGGTTTGGCCTACTTTACTTTGACAGGGGAGAAAAAAAAGCCAATGACTGGAATGGACATGGTTTAAAATAACAACAAAAACAAGTATCATAAACTGATGCAAGAGCAGTGCCACAACAAAAAATTGAAATTTGTGGATGTTTTTGTGTTTTGGTTGATTGTTGGTACATTTTTATGTATTGATATGTTGACGTTTTCGGCGATACGACAAACGGCAGTGTGTAGATTTTCAGTGACAGCTAAACATAACATTTTGCTTATTATTTTCTATCACTGTCATTGGCCTTCCAGATCTAGATAGATTGATGTCTAACATGTCCAGCATCTTCAATTTTCGTACTAATCTGCATACTGTAGACGTAGGTATTGGTTGTTCTGGTTGGCATTGAATAATTGACGTACTTCATCATAACTATGGATTCTATCTCCGTATCCAACCATAATTAGGATTTCAATTCTTTGTTTCTCATTTATACACAACACCATCGTAATGTAAAGTTATGGTATTTATAACTGTCATAATGATATGAGGCACTATTGCATTCGCTAACTGTCATCTCAAAAACAATGACTACATAGCCGCTGTGATCGGGTGTATACCTACCCAATCTACATAAAAACATGTACCTACAATCAATCAAAACTTTTGCTATAGCACTGTTCGCGCATAAGTTTGTGATACCTACTTTTGTTATTAATTCAAACCATATCCATTCCAATCGTTGGCTTTTTTTCGCACCTGTCAAAGTAAAGTATATCGATGCATTTCCCTTCAAAAGGGCTATCCATTTATGCTTAAAAAATTAGATAGTACTATTTAAAAAAAATGTTGATAACGTCATAGGTTTATGAAACACAGACACAAAAAAGGTTTAACCAATGTGACAAAACGGCAATTCCTATTTACTAATTGACGTGTTTTAGCGTTTTTGTCAAAACTCAACACAAAATAAAATACAAATTTTTTGCATTACTTCTGGGACGCACTGTATATGTACATAAACATATTTACATATGTACATATTTACTATCCAGTAATCCGAAAATATCGGTAATTCGAACTTATCTCTTTAAGCCCGTGTTTTAATTAGTTCGGATTAAAGAGTCTATACTGTAATAAAAAAAATAAAATTAAAAAAATGGTAAACACTCTATTGACAGTCTTTCTTTTTGTGCGTACAGTGGCTTATTTATAAATGTTTTGTAATTATATTCGTTATTAAATTGTGAAAACATTTTAAATTTATACCAGGGCAAAAAGTCAATATATATAAATGATTACTACCTGATAGAGAAGCTAGAAAACTGTATTTTCCATTGACAGGTTCACTCTTACGGACAATTTTACTAACTTCTTCTTCCCAGGTATCATCGCTAGAACTACTATCACTAGACAATTTTCTGTTATCAGTCTTTTTTTCTTCTTTTTTGCTAGAGTTATCTATTTTTCTATCTGTTTTTTTAGAATTAGTATCACACCTTTTCAATAAAGGTATTTTGTCATTTGAATTTTCGTTTTTTTCTTTCCTCTTTCCTCCAGATATATCTTTTATTCGATTAATTTTACTTTGCAACCTCTCTTCTAGGGATTGTCCAATAAATGAGAAGTTATCCAAATTTTCTTTGTCAGATTCACATTCAGTTTCAGACACAGTTTTCTTATTTAATTCCACAGTATTTCTAAAGTATTTTGATGTGGTGTCTTCCTCGCCATCAGAATCATCGAAATTTAGTTTAGCTCTTAATTTAATGCGAACATCAGAATTGGAATCTGTATCTGAATCACATAAATCTTTTAATCGCTTTATTGCTGGAGATTCCGTAAATTTTAATCTGGACTTTTGAAGAGTTCTTAATAAATTATTGGATTTCGATTTTTCAGTCTCTAGATATGGATTTTTATATAAAACAGACAGTTTCGGTTTCCTGAAATAAAACATCGATATACATTTTTGGATTTCCTTTTGAAACGATGAAAACCATTGTTTTAATTCATTACCTATACCGTGCTTTCACCGTACAACGCTATATAGGGAATTAGCTTCGTTCGAGTTCGTAAATTCGGAAGGGTGGGGAGCGCTGGGTGCTGCAACCTGACTGATGTGAGATGTGATTACGTACGCCACAGCGCCCCATGGCCGCGCACACTGAGATCGACATCCCCACCGCTGAAGCCGCACGAGTTTGACCGACACACCTCCTATGTAATGTTTTCCCGTGAAAGCACGGTATATAAATAATATTCTAAAGCAGTGTATGGATTATCGCAACACAACCTGCAATGCAACATTCACCAATATGTACACAATGAGCAACAAAATAACTAGAATATGGCTCCTGCTTGCAATTTTAATCATGTGCCTCGACTACTTGTGAAGATGCGCTTACTAACAGATTCATTAAAGCACAAGTTGGTGAATGTTACATTGAGGGATATATCTGTTAAAACAGATTACAAGAGAAAAACTCAATAAATTTCAGGGAATAATCTCTATGGATATAACAGGTGTTACGGTTACAAAAATTGGCACAAGACAATTTCCTAAAACATATATCGGTAGTTATGTTACACAGGTAAGTCTTTCTGTTAAAATCTATAAATGTTCTTTAAATATCAATCAAGAAATTTGGAAAAGATATCTGAAGGGTAATTATTCAGTGATGGCTGCAGGGGACTCAGTGGCGCCGCTCACCCCTAGAAATTTTAGTAGTAAAAAAATTTAATTTACAATTTAGTTCACCGTGTTATCTAGAGAATTAAACAGATTATCCTTTTGAAACATATTAAAAATTAAAGGTTAAATTTGTAATGTGCAGTCAATTTAACTCAACTTGCAAAATTCATTTGAAAATCACTGAATGTGTGAGCTCCTGATAGCTAGCCTTCTGCATGGGAGGCTGTGACTCGCCTCTAAATCTGTAAAGTATTTACAGCGGTGGTTATGGTTACTTACGCAGCAGTGAGAGACAGAGTGGGAGTAGCGCATATTTACTATGCACTTTAGGCTCTATTTAGTCCCCCGTAAGCTATTCACTGCTTTTTTTTCTTACTAAACATAATTTGTTTACGTGTGGTGTAAAATTTTGTTACCTATGTATTGTTTCTTGTGTGTTTTTAAAAAAGCTGTAAGTTTAAATTAAATTGTAAAGACATACTATTAGGTACATACCGTTCAGAATTTGTAATGCAAAGATTATTCGGCTTGAGCACTCGCTTTTTAGGTTCCGTTTTAGGAGTTTTAAGTAATACATATTCTTCCTTTTCTCTCCACTTATTACCATAAAGATCATCTAACATTGATACTATTTCTTCCTGGTTTGCATCTAATAAAAATGACAAACTAAAATTTGTATTAATTTAGCTGCATGACTTATTATTACCATTACTCTCAGTGCTGCAGTCTAACTTATTGTTTGAACATTTGCCTCCACTTGAATTATATGGAACCTGGCTTTTGCCTGCGCTGATATTTTGATTTTTGCCTTTAAGCAGCCTTGTATTCAAACTTTCAATTAAAGAAAAAGAATTATCAGAATCATTTATATCTTCGTCACATTCACTAATTTCTGTTTGAATATGGTTATTGTTTGTATTATTTATATTACATACATTGGTCATCAAACTTTTTTTATGATTCGTTCCTTTACTATACGAAGAAGTAACAGATTTATCAAAATTTGAAATAAAATCATTTCTTACAGCACTCATTTCATTTCTCTGGATGTTTTTCGTTAAGCTTGTATGTTGTTTGATAAATGATTCATTTACAGCAGGTGGTTTATCAATATTTATGAAATCTTTTGGTGACAAAGCTATGTAATCAATCTTCTGCTTAAATAATTCATCAAAATGCACAGATGTGGAATCAATACTAGTGGAGTTAACTGCACGGCCAGTTCTTTCCGTAATAAAATTTCCACCATTATCTTCGCCATAAATTGTTGATAATTCACTATAAGCACTGATAATACTAGTATCCTTCAGTTCACATTGAATATTTACATTGTCAACCCAGTGTTTAATTTTTTGAAATTTATCTTGTGAAAGTAACAAATTTTTTTTAACTGTGGAAGATTTTTTTTTTCGTGTCACTAATTCTGGTGGTTTACTTTTGTTTGAATTAAATTTGAACTCGTTTTCGCTATCACTGTCATGTATACTAATAGGAGTTGTATTTAACAACTTTTCACATGATTCGGTTGACTTCGAAGTACAAGTGCTACCGGTTTCAGTTAGAACTAATTTGTCATTCTTTCCTGTATGTATGGACTTGTCATAAATGGATGATTTTTGTAGAGATTTTCTTAATGCTAACACCGTTGTGCCTAAACATAAGCAGTTATTATAATATATTAACTACACTACAATAATTTACCTTTTCTAAAATGTTTCTGGCAGTGCTTTACGTTTGGAGACATGGAACTCAATAGCTGAAAAGATTCTTCCTCCATCCTGTAAAAATGATTTCAATACTTCTACTTCGATATTTACATTGGTTTTATTTATCATCCCACGGTTTATATCAACACAAAATACAAATTATAAATGTATAAATAACCAAACCACATTGTTAAATCTTACTGTATCTTTATAGTTTATAACTGAATAAAAAATAAAAGGTAAACGTAAACTTGAATAGAATCTATCAAAATAATAAGAAATGGATATAATAAATAATAATTCTTATATTTCTTATTATTATAAAAAAAACAAATAAGAAATTCAAGAAACAACGGTATTTTCAATTTCCACCAATAAAAAGTATATGTTTCTATTTAGTTACCAAGGCAGCCAACAAAAATATATTATAAATTACCGTTCCAACCTCAAGAAATGAAATATGATATCAATGTATATACGCACTGGAATGGATGCACATGCTTATGTTCATGAATCATGAGGCCATTTCTTAAGATACAATATGGGTTCGTTCTATAATCTGTAATTAGCTTCAGTTGCATTTCAGTAAAATGCAGTAAGTATTTTTGTTAAGAGGAGTTGGCATTGGCAAGCTTTTAGGGAAATCGGTGAACAAACCTAGTGAAGAATGAACACACCGCACAGGGAGACTAGACAAAGAACACCAACTCATACGAGAAAATAGACAAAATTTGTCCAAGAAATGGCAGAAGTTAGCACGGTCCGTAAAGAGACAGTCGCCGCATAAGTCAATCAGCCAATAAAAAACAAATACGTCACCAAATTCCTCAGTTTATCTTCGTTCAACCGTCATCTCTTTCTGACTCAGGGCCGGTTTTATANCGAGCTGTATAAAAAATCTTGTACACAATGTTCCACCTACTACTTGCGATGATATTAAAGGGAAGGATTAGATATGCATTTGCGTGAAAATATCATTTGAAGATAGAATAAGATGCTGTATTCAAGAGAATGGTTATCAATTCGAACATCAATTAAAATTTTTCTTTGTTTCTTCTAAAAGTAAAATTTCCTTTTATCATTATCATAATATTCAAAAAAGTTTCCTAATAAAAAATATTATACTATTCGAAGCTGAGCGACTTCTGGTGCGGATAAATGCCGTCTAGGCATGACAAAAATTAAAAAAATCGAAGTCTACAAAAACTTTTGATTAATTTTTTTCACTAGAATTACAAAAAATATTGTTAGTTTTGAGAAAAACTGTTGGTTGGTTCCTTTGAATCAAAGATAGAGTTTAAAAAAAACTGTTTTTTACACACTTGTTAGCTCCGTAAGTAAGTTTAGGATAATACGCACTATTTTTTCGCAGATCGAGGACTACACCAATCTTGGGGGTATCAACTTTTAATCAATTTCGTTAATTCAAAATAAAGGAAATTACGGTACGGAAAGAGTACATCGCTTCAAAAATGAGTCAATATTTTTATCTTGAGTTGTTAAAAAATAAAGAAGAGTATTTTTCAAAAAATTTTCAAAAATTAAAGTTTTTTTTTCAAAAATTATTATTTTTTTTTCAAATTCAATGAGCAAAAAATGCCCAATTGTGAAAGAATTGAAAAAAAAATCAAATTTTTCATTTTTACAAACGTTACAGGGGGCTAAGAAATGTAAATTTTGCTCCTTTAAATTTTTCTGAAATTTTGACTAAGCGGTCCGAAAAACCCGTTCGATAGATCGATCTGCCCATTTACGGAGCTTTTGGGGGTACATTGAGGTGTAAAAATTCGTACAAGCATTAGACTCTCCATCGATATTAGCAAAGATGCGGTCGACTTAGCAAAACAAGTCAAAAAGTCACTNAACTCATACGAGAAAATAGACAAAATTTGTCCAAGAAATGGCAGAAGTTAGCACGGTCCGTAAAGAGACAGTCGCCGCATAAGTCAATCAGCCAATAAAAAACAAATACGTCACCAAATTCCTCAGTTTATCTTCGTTCAACCGTCATCTCTTTCTGACTCAGGGCCGGTTTTATAGGTTGAGTTTAAACTACATATGTCAAATTAACCGCGCGCCATTATTCCATGGCTAGAAGTTGGCCTCAATGATTTGTGATCGAGGGGGATTATCCCTCTTTATCCTGCCTCATCTCGTGTAGGCCTGGACAGCCTTCGTAGGTGGGCCCCATCCGTCGTCTACCCCNTGTTACCAAATATATTAAAATTTACTTCCATTTGATCAAAATTACTTTCCGTTTTCTTAGATTTCCGACCGACACGATCTGTCAATTCAGAGACGTTCATGCTTTCCGCGTGTGCTTGCTACGAAAAGTGAAAATAATAGGAGGGCAGCGCACAAAATATTTTAAGTAGCATTGCCGTTAATCATTCTGCATCTCTCTGTATTATTATTAATTACGTTTTTTTCTTGTTAAGTATTTTGTGACTCTTATTCTGGGCTTTAAAGTCTGTATCCTGTCCCTTTTTCGATAGATAAATAAAGACAAGTAAATAGAATCCTCCTCCGAAAGCGTAACAAGTCCCCGAGCACCGTACACCATATGTATCGCAGACACGGAGTTAATTTGGCAGCTCCGGCGAAGAGGTGCACGACGGGGCGTGCCGAGACAGATAGACAACCTCTCGGGGGAGCACGCACAGAGCCGCGCGCCCCCAGAATCTCTAATTTCGTCAACATCCGACACCGCTTGAATAAGAAGTTCGGGCCTCAAAGTGGGAAACTTGCGAGAGGACACACTTGGGTCGCGGTACGAATTTGCATGGGTATTGGCGTTCAATCCGCAAACAAAGGAACCGTTTCCCGAATATAATTGCACAGATGATGGATGCTGGCGATACAGGAAGCGACTGTGAGGCGTGACTGGTCCCAAAACAAGCAGACATACTTGGAGTCTCTAAAATACTATAAAAGCACTCTAAAAATTTTTTTGAATAAAGTTTGCACAACATTGTCTGGGAAGATTTTATAACATAAACAGTACAAAGTTGTAATGTTCTATACACTCAAATTTTACGAATTACTTGAAGATATAATTTATAAATTCAATGTCACTAGTTTTCTTATAATTTTTTTTAGAACTTTGTAAAATTCTTCATCAAATACGTAATATTTTTGTCCTAAAATCCCTAATTCCTTACAATGATCAAAATGTCATAATAATATTTTTTCCAGTGGAGAGACCAGCGTCCATCCTTTGAGTTCGAGCAGTCCACTACCCAGACAGGATATACAGCTTACGTCACTCCAGATATACACCCTAGTCCAGGGGTCGGCAACCTATGACCCGCGGGTCACCGAGTGACCCATTTACTAATTTCAAGTGACCCACTTTATTTCCTAAAAAAAGTATAATATACAAAAATAAATTATAAAACATAAACATGAAACGAATATTTTGAGAATAAAAAAAAATTGNCAGAGCAGAAAAGTTAAGCCATTAATAAAATTCGTTGATGATATTATAGATACTTTTGGCATACCTCGACGAATTATTTGCGACAGGGGTACTTGTTATATAAGTAATTTATTCAACAAACGTTGTACAGAGCTAGGCATAAAAATTGTCCATGTAGCCGCAGCAACACCGCGTGCAAACGGATAAGTCGAAAGATATAACAGAATTGTTCTATCTAGTCTTGGAACAATGGTAAGTGACGAAACTAAATGGGAAGAGGTAGTACATAAAATCGGATGGGGATTAAATTGTACCATAAATAAAAGTACAGGGAAAAGTCCATTTGAATTATTTTTTGGTTTTAAACCTCGAGCCATTAGTGATTCTTATTTGCGAGCGAACACCGAATTTGGGAATGATATAGACAAAACTCAGACAAATATAAATAATCAACAGAATTGTACAAAAGTAGGCAAATTAATTGAGAAACAGCAAGCAGAACAAAAGCAGCGTTATGATAAAAAAAGAGTAACGCCATACCAATATAAAGTAGGTGACAAAGTGTTAACAAAAAACAAATAGGTAGTAATGAAGGCAAAAGCAGAAATTTATTACCTAAATATAGCGGTCCGTATATAATAAAGAAAGTTCTAGGTCAAGATCGTTACGTTGTGACTGATATGCCAGGCGCTGAGCGCTCCCAGAAACCCTACGAAAGTATTTGTGCAGTCGACAAACTAAAGTTTATTTAAATGACTACAGTGTGTAAATACAGAACTGGCTAGTAGCGATTCAGAATAAGATAATAATAATAATAATCGAACTAATTAGATTACAAAAAAAATACTTGAATAGAATGTAATTTATACTTTGAAGGGATATCTAAGTAATATTATGTACTATATGTGTTTATTTATGTAAAATAGTATGAATTTGTATGACTTGTGAGTTGTATGTGTATTCAGTAAGCGCGTATGTGTGTGAAGAAAGTGTGACAGGGTTGTGTATACAGGGTGTTAAAAAAAGAGTGTAAAATATTTCAGGAGGTAATAGTATGAACCAAAATAAGCAGAAAAGTCTCAATAAACATGGGTCCGCAAAGTAACGGTTGCGGAGATATGGAATGTTTTATGTTTTTTAGCCCCTTTTTTTATTTTGCAAAAACGTTGTGTATTTTCTTATAATAGTTGGTTGATGTTTAGTGAAATAAACAGTACGTATTTGACAGTTGTTCTCAGTGCACAAGTTTTCTTTCGCTATGGCTGGTTACTCTAACGCAGAATTAACAGACATGCATTTCATGTATGGTCGTGCTAATGGGAACGCCACCGAAGCGCGACGTCTTTATGTTGACGCTTATCCAAATCGCCAGATTCCTTCACAACGCATGTTTGGAAGAATTCACCAAAGATTGCGTGATACCGGTTCCTTGAGCAAACAGTGCCATTTATCCGGAAGACCAAGGTCGGTATCCACTCCTAGAGCAGAAGAAGAAATTCTAGCACTGGTAGAGCAGAATCCAGGTACGAGTGTGCGGAGAATATCAGCCGAGGTAGGAATTAGTGGTCCTCTTGTTTGGAGAATCCTTCACGAGCAACTGCTTTATCCATACCATGTGCAACGAGTACAGGCCTTAAATCCAATAAATGATCATCAAGCACGTTTGGTTTTTTGCCGCTGGTTTCTACGTCATGATGCTGAAGACCCTCGTTTTCTTGCAAACATTCTTTTTACTGATGAGGCCGGGTTCACAAGAAATGGAGTGTTTAATTTTCACAATACGCATATTTGGGCCGACGAAAATCCTCATGCTCTAATAGAATCTGGACATCAGGCACGTTTTTCATTAAACATTTGGATGGGTATTGTAGGTGACAGGTTTCTAGGTCCTGTTGTTTTACCAAACCGATTAACAGGCGCTGCTTACCTCAACTTTCTGCAGAACACACTGTATGAGTTTTTGGAAGACATTCCTTTGAATCAGAGGCAACAAATGTGGTTCCAGCATGATGGTGCTCCAGCTCATTTTTCCATGGCCGTTAGAGAGCATTTACACCAAACTTTTCCACATAGATGGGTAGGAAGGGCCGGACCTGTTTTATGGCCTCCAAGATCGCCTGATCTGAACCCTCTAGATTTCTTTGTTTGGGGATATTTGAAGACATTAGTGTATGGTACTCCTGTAAATAGCCTGGAAGAGCTGCAGCTACGGATTAATTAAAAGTGTCAAGAAATCCAAACCAAGGAGGGTGTTTTCGAAAGAGTTCGAATATCGTTGA